TACTTTCGATAGCTTCTAAGTCCTCAACTACCTTTTGATGAGTCCCTAAACTACCTTTAACATTATCAACATGCTTCTTCATGTTCACCTTTTTAGGTGCTATTCTTGAAATGTTCCCACTTCTCACTATGCGGTAACAAATTCTAAGAAAATGGTAATGACTTGTGTAGTCATTCTGTTTTCCAACTACATCCAAATACCGCACGTATTGTGACGATAATGTTTGAAATTTTCTATCGATGTTTTCTATTTTTGAGAAATAACATTTTCTAATCTCCTCCCAAAAATCAAATAAAGCATCGATAAGTTTAACCGTTATCCCAATGTCTGGCGGCTGTGAATGGAACAGTAAGGCATTTTTCCCACACTGTTCCGATGAACTTAAGCTGTTCACCTCAGCTAAATAATCGATATCTAAACGTGGTATTTCTATGGGCACAAAAACACCTATGCCGTTTAGAACTCCCTCGATTTCTTTAGTCGCATAGCACACTCCCAAGGTGTCTATGTAATCCGAGTATGTAAATTTTTTCATACGACGGAGTTCCCTCTCGTTATCTAAATATTCCTTTCTTGCTTCTGTAAAGGAACTACCTAATTTGGTACATTTTTCCCTAACTTCCTCAGTTACACCACACAGAGCAATTTTTTCCATTTCTAAATAAAGTGACACAATATACTCGCCCAACATCCTTTGATGTTGAATGAAGTCTACAAAATTCATATTGACGAAATATATGTGCACTCAAAAAATAAACGAATAAACTAATCACTTTTTTCTACACGTCTATTGCGTTAGTATATGGAGAGATAGATAGACAGAATCTTTCACTGCTACCTATCATATCTCCTTTTACACAACTAAAAGATCTTACACTATCTTTGCTTCAACAGTGCACCTTTTACGTCGCTACAACAAATAAGCCTAACACACTTCACTACTACGAAAATGCGCGCCTATCACGTCATTTATTTCGCATAAACTAATATTTTCTCGGACACTGAAAATATAGCCTATCGAATAACTTCACTAACTACACACGATACTATCACGTCGGGGTCACCAAATGATGAGGTCGACTCCTAACCTCATCACAAAGCGATCTAACTAAAGAAAGAAAAAAGAAAACGCCGCGAGATGATCTTTCTTGTTCCGTGGCTGGAAGGGAACTCAATTTATTTACAACATATTCTTAACACTAAAGCTTACATCTAATACATTAACATATGCATTTTATTTACTAATGCACGCTGTGTATTAACGCACACAATACGTTGCGGGAGAACGAAACGTACCTAATTTGTGATCGACTCTTTCTTATCTTCTATTTATGGCCGTGACATTTATTACATTATTTATTACCGACCATAAACCTAGCATTTGGAAAACACATGCATCTTAAGTGTTTTCTTTATTTAACTAATTTACATTCTTCGGAAAAGACAAATAAAAATGAGATAAGAATTTAAAGAAGAACATTCAACACACAAACTATTTTTACAACATGTACAGTTTCTACAAAACTAAACAGACACATTCAGCACATTCGCTAAGTATCTATAATACTACAACATAACAGCATTAGGTAGTTTTCGTACCACCATATTAGGTAATTTCCCACTAAACGCGGTGAAAGAGCATTTCGTTTATCTAAGATTGTCGGTCACTTGTAATCTTAACGACGAAGTGCTGATTCTCTTAAAAATTCTCCTGCTCTATAAACCAATAAATTTGTGAGTTATTTTTCTTTTCGGCCGCGAAATACCAATCGTAGCATATTTTTTGCACATTTTTCTCTTTTTAATTAAAACAGAATATTTTTCTAAATTTTTAAAGCTCTACTATCACTCGTTTACGTGATACCAAGAAGAGCAAAATTTCGTTCATTTGTAACACCTGGAAATATACATGTTGGACCCCACAAGTTATATATATTCTTGAGCAGCATAAATTTCTATGTTGATTTATCGAAGTCGGTCCGTCTATCCGTCTGTGGAAATCACTCTAACTTCCGAACGAAATCAAGTAGATTGATAAAATTTTACTCAAATGTATATTATGTCTGCAGGACTTTTGGTATTGAAAATTGGCCATGTAGGATACTGCGGCCTACGACAGAAAATTGTCTGTGCATGTCCACGCTTTCGTATAGCCCCCATATAACGGAACCTCCCGATATTTGGTACTTCGATGATTTTAGCGACATTATTCCCCGGAATTGTTTCAAATTTGGTATTTGAAGTTCGCAACGGATACTACAGTCTATGAAGTTGAAGTTCGTAATAGTACCTCCCTATGTTCGGTATTTTGATGATTTTAGCTACATTATTCACCGATTATTTTTTAAGTTTCGTATTTGGATATTGTAATGGCTTATGGTAAAAGTTGCCTATGCAGGTCCACGTCGTCGCATAGACCCTAATATAATGGCTACATACATATGGTGGAGGGTATTCAAAGTTCGGCCCGGCCGAACTTACAGCTTTTTTACTTGTTTTTATTAAGCAGATCATTGTAAATGAAATAAAAGAGTTGAGGAATTTTATTAATGCTACTGAATTTCAAATATAATAGACTGTAAACTACCAGTCCTCTTTTAACAACATCTTAGTCGAGAGCCCACAACAGGTCTATAAGTGTATGTCCACCAGGACATGTGGCGATCGTTGTCGTCCCTCTCGTTTCGAAAATCTAACTTTAGGTTTCTTTGGAGAATTCTAATGCTAACATTCTTAACCATTAAAAAATAAATAATTCATAAAACAAACCTAACAAAAAAAAAAAAAAAAAAAAATACAAATATGCGATGCTACCGGTCTTCCAGAAAACGTGCGATTCCTTGAAATTTTCAACATTCCAGTAGACAGATTGTTTACAGCCAACTATAGACTTTTAATTAGACGATTGTGTAGGAGGGAGCAAGGAAATATCACGTGCAAGCCCGACAAATCTTTAATTGCGTCTTAGGAAATTATTTTTACTCAATTCGTTTAGATGATACCCTAATAATATATGAATCTATACAAGTACTTCGAGTAGTTGAAAATGCGGTGGAAAAATATTGGAATGCACAACATTTGTGGTATATCTGAACAATAACAATATGATACAATAAATAATTTGAATTTAGTAAAATTCCAATGCTTATTATTTCAGTGATTAACGAAATTTGTCGGTGAGCTAGCGACGAAATGAAAGTAGTCGCTAAGATCTACCGATTGATACCAATGCTTAATCCCATTATTGTTGTTATAACCACTTACATAGTATGGAGTGTATATTAAGTTCGTCATTCCGTTTGTAACCCATCGAAATAATAATTTTAGACCCAACAATGTACAAATATTCTTGATCAGCGTAAAAATCTAAGACGATTTAGCCCTGTCCGTCTGTCAGACCATCTGTTGTAAACACGATACAGTCAAAACGGATTCAGATATGAAGCTAAAATTTTGCACAGATCTCTTTTGTCCGAAGATGGGCTATATCGGTCCGCGATATCGTATAGCCCCCCCATATAACGGTACCCCCGATATTCGGTATTTTGATGATTTTAGTCATATTTTTCAATGGAATTGTCTGAAATTGTACACAAGGAGTTCTTTGTGAGTACTTTACCCACTAGAAGAGAATACAACGGTACCGCCCGATATTCGGTATTTTGATGATTTTAGTCACATTTTTTTCAATCGAATTGTCCAAAATTGCACACAAGGAGTTCTTTATGAGTACTTTACCTCCTGACAGAGAATTGTTTACAAATTATCGTATCAGATAACATGATTTTAACAGAATTTTTAATGGATTTTATCGTTTTGAAAATTCCTTAATTCGTCCCTAATGGCGGAGGGTATTCAAAGTTGGGCCGGTCGAACTTACTGCTATTTTACTTGTTTTTTTATATCAACAACGTTTGTTTATTAGTGGAGAACGATGGTAATGTGTACCAGGGGGTAAGGCAGGGAATACCTAGGTTTCGGTTGCCTTACTCCCTGGTATACATTACCAGTGTTTCGTACCATATCTCGTTACCGTGATACTGGTAGCGTTGCCCGACGTCAAGGAAGTGGACGGAAGAAAACAGCAACATCAGGAGAAATGGTTCAAAACGTAAAGAAGCGGTTTGATCGAAACCCGTGTCGCAGTGGCCAAAAATGGCTCGTGAGCTGAACATATTCGGCAAATATTGAAAAATGAGCTCGGGGTAAAGCCATTGAAATTCCAAAAACTGCAAGAACTTACAGCGCAACATAAAGAAAATAGACTCAAAAGAGCTAAAGAGTGGTTTCGCTTGGCCGAAAGTGGTGAATTGCCGAATTTGGTTTTCTGCGATGAGAAAATATTCGTTGTCCAGCAGTTTGTAAACAAATAAAATTATCGTGTCTACTTGCCAAAGAGGTCGGCTAAAATTGTTAAACTTCGGTTGGTCACCAGAATTTAAGGGCCAGTCATGGTGATGTGTGGGCCGCCATAACAGCCGATGGTAGCTCTCCGCTCGTATTAATCGACCGTGGCATCAGAATAAATGCCAAATATTATCCCGAAAATATTTTGGAGGGTGTATTAAAGTCTTGGGCACGAAACATTTTGGCCACAGACCTTGGACATTCCAACAGGACTCAGCACGCGCCACCCAAGAATGGTTACAAAATGAGGTTCCCCGCTTCATTTCCAGCGCACAATGGCCACCAAAATCTCCGGATACCAATCCGTTGGACTATTGTGTCTGGAGTATTTTGGAAAGCAAGGTTGGCACTAAAAAATACCAAAGTGTCGATCACCTCAAGCAAGCGCTTCGCCGGGAATGAGCCAAAATACCGCAGAGCAACATTCGGGCAGCGTGTGACGGTTTCATTGGCGGTTTAAGTGCCATAATTCCTGCCAAAGGTGACCAATTCGAACAAATCTAAACTTATTCTAAAATTGGATGCTATTTCCGACATTTATTGCTTTCATTCAATAAAATTTAAAAAAAAAAGTAAAAATTATGTCGTTTGGCTTTGTTGCAGTTTTTTTATATCATTTTTATTATATTTAATTTTCAACACAAAAAACAAGTTCTGCCAAAATTTAAATTGTTAACCATTGAACATTTGTACATTGAATATTTGCAATCCGCGTGTAGCTCGCCAACAATTTTGCCGTCTCTGAAATTAGATTTTTTTCAAAGGATTCGTAAAATTGTTCAGAAATTGGAAGAATTTTCTAACATTTCTTTTAAGATCTTCTGTACATTTTCAGTGCTTTTTAAAAAAATCTGGAAAAATATCCCAAACATCTTCTAAGAGTCTCAATGTTAGCGCACATGCTTAGCCGTTTGTCGTATCCTTAAAAAAAAGAAAACGTTAGGATTTTCGAAAAAAAAAAAAAAACTAAAACAAATATCAAAATTACAGAGAATTTCAAAATCAGCAGCATGGTATTATGACATCAGAATCACTGCACTCGAATTCTGCCGTCTTTTTCCTTGGACGTTTATGTACCATGCCTTTGAGGATTTCGGAAATTTGTATGATAAATAATTTCAAAAAAAAATCGACATTTTCTTCTGAATTTTTCAAAACTTTTCAAAAATCGAATATTTTTACAGAACTTTCTACAGGAAAATTATCTCAAATTCGCAGACACGGATTTATAACTTTTGTAGCAGTTTTGCATACGAATTTGGAAACACGTAATGCGTAATATAATTTCGTCGGGTAATAAACATTGCCAATTAAATTAAAAATGTAGCGGAGCGCCGGTTTTTAAAAGATAAATACGATAAACTAATATTATGCAATATTTTGTACCAAAAGCGAGTAAAGAGAGCAATTTTGACAGTTGACTTTGCAAATTCTGATTTCGAAAAATTTACTCAGTAAGAATTATTCAGTAACACCAGCTGAACAATATTTCCAAATGTTAGACAATAATTTACACATTTTAATTATTTTTTTCAGATAATTAGTACTCAACATTGTATTACACTGTTGAATTACTTATTTTTCACCATTAACATTGCAATTTTGATTTTCTCAACAATTTTTGAAGTGTAACGCATGTATTGTGCGATACAGCGGTTTTCTTGCTAAATTTTCCTGAACGTTGTTCGATAAATTTTTCCAATATTTGGACGAGAAAGAGAAAATTCTCTCAGTAAACTTTACTGAGTAAGAACAGTTATTGCACAGTCCTAAATATATTGCACAGTCACCTTCGAGTCTATCATTTTACCGGAAATCGCCAGAGAACTGTAGAAAAATTACCCCAGTCAGTAAATGTACAGCTTCAGTTTGGCGATATTTATTATCGGCACATATTTATAAATATGGGTGAACGACGCAAATAAACAGTCACACATCATCGAGGTGTCACAATGTGGGGCATTGGACCCCTATTTATAGTCGTTACCCGTACCAAGGGGTAATTTTCACATGCCCATCCTCGTTCCTAATGCTTCTTCGCTTTGGTTTATAAATTTGGTTTATAAATTTGCCGCTCGCTGACACCGTTTTCATAAATTTGCGAGTAAAAAATAACTTTTTGCCGGCGCATGCGTCACACAGCCAGTCACTACCTCGTTCATCACCGCATCAGCGAATGAGAACTGCAGGGTCTTGGCGCTAACGCTAAAATACATTGCTGACGTATGAAGAGTGCCGTTAATCCTTACTCAACTAATACTTCACCCACATATATACACACACACAGACACAAACATAGACATGCTTGTCTTCCATATTTTTTGACCGAAATCTCCCGACCGGTGATCACTTCCCGTCACCCACACCTCCGTTCACACTGGAGTGCTTGTTTAGCGGGCAGAAAGAGAGATATTGTTTGTTTTATTTTTCTTCTTTACATACGACAGAACACAACCACAGCGTTTGCGTTCGGCTGCAGAGAAACAATGAAATCTGGTTTTCACAAGAATTTAATGGATACTATGCCGCTTAAAACGCTAAAAGTCAGATAAAACATCGATGTACCCTCATAGATGTATGGGAACATCTTGTTTATACACGATGAAAACATGAAAAGCGTAACTTTGCAAAACAATGAATGCAAACACGAAATTGTCAGAAGACGGGCTCACGCAGCAATAAGCTTGTAACCCTACCATACCTTTTCATTGCGCCATGCTTCCACACAGCAAATTATTATTTGAAAATACATGGGTTTGGGCCACAAACAGAAGTGGGTTAGAGAAAAAGAAATTAATGCTTGTTCTTTCTTGGTAATGCACCAGAAACAAGAACCTTTATAAAAATCTAACAAAATATCTCATCATAGTATGACAAATAATAAAATAATAAAAAATTCATGAAAAATGATAACCAATCATAGGATTATCACGGTTTTACCCATGGTACAATAAAAAGGTATGCTACAGCTACAAGCTGGTCACACTTTTTTCTAAATGTGACCGACTTCTGCCAATTTCGTGTATATATTTATTGTATTGATAAATGAAAAACAAATATGTTCAAAATCGGTGATTGGAGGCAGTAAAACTCGAGACATTAGTCTTTCTCATTTTAAAAACAGGTAAAGAAAGTATGATATCCTACACCTACATATTTAGTAGAGCTTCATATCTATATATATATTTGCATAATTTTTTGTACAAAAGTTCGTCATACCCCGAGTTAGTTTTTTAAAGAAAAAATATTGACCACGCCTACTTTTACGCCCGCTATTTCGCTATTTATTTAAAATCCTTATATTTACCAAATAACGAAGATATCGATTTGAAAATTATTACACGAGATACTGTTGACTTTCCATCCAGCCCTATGTTTTTATTTGGGCGCTGAGGAGCTGACCACGCCTACTTTTTAATCTACATGTATTAAAATCAAATGTCGTTCGTTGGTAGTTGAATCAGTTGAAAACTGCTGGACCGATTTCAACATTTTTTTACAAAGGTTTTTATGCAAATAAAAATTGACCACTCCCACTTTTACGCTAATTTTTTCGATTTACTTAAAATCCTTATATTTGCCAAAATAATGAAGATATCTGTTTGAAAGTTAGTATACGTGGTACTGTTGACTCTCCCTCCAACCCTAAGTATATGTTTGAAGTCAGGCCCTGCCCATTTCTTTGAATCTATATGTATAAAGATAGTATAAAAAAGTATAGTTACACAAATGACTCAAATCTTCCTACGCTTATTTGTTATTGAATTATTGGACAATGGAAAGTTTTTACCAAGAAAATTTTGGGAAAAGCCCCTAGAAAAGTTGAGAAACTGAATAAGTCGAAAGTTGCTTTTTGACATACAATTTTGCGTAGAATTGTTACGGAATGCATTTGAAATTGAAAATTCTTATTGAAAAGTTCCTAAGAATTCGCGAAATTTTTGAGCATAAAAATACTCAAAATCTTAACGTACTTTTTCAGTTGCGACTATGCCAAATGGGGAATCAATAGTTAACAGTTATTGCCGGTATAGATTTAACAACACTTAAAACTTTAAATGTCAAATTACAGTTAATTTGGTAGAAATTGTAACAAAAATATGCAAATTTGGATATTGCTCCCACATATATTTTCGGCCGTTTTTTCATATTTGATGCACCTAACGCGATATATATGTCCGATTCTAATGAAATTCAAAATATGTGGCGGAATTTGGAACAGAAATAAATGTTGCAAATTATATTGAAATCGGTTAAGATTTAAACATAGCTCCCATATATATTTTCGGCCGATTTACATATTTGATGCAGCAAACACAATTCCAATGAAATTCGGATCAGAATGTTTAGTGGAATGAAAATTAATTTTCCAAATTATATTGAAATTGTTTAAGGTTTGGATTTGCCTCCCAATTTCAATGAGATATGGGAGGTGTGACGTAATAGGGTCCAAACATAAATTTTGTTAAATTATATTGAAATTGGTTTAGTTCGGGATATGTTTGTGTCCCACAACGCCTTTGCTATGGTATCAGGTAACAGTAAAAAACTACACAAAAATTTAATTGAGAATACGATTATCATGGGGAAGTATGTTGCTACCTCAAATTCTCTAATAACAACATAAATTCCACTCAATTTCAAAAGATTACATTTTCTTGCACGCTTGGCTTTTGCTATGAAATTAATAAATCCGAAGGACAAACTATTCGTGATTATCATGGACAGCTGCGCCTGGCATGTTCGCGCGTTGATAGACCGAGAGATTTGTTTGTTTACGCATTAAAGTCTTACAGTAAATACTTTTTTTAATTCTTCAAATTCTTATATTTTATTTTTTAACCACAAAATATTCGTATATAAAATTTTGAATGCATATAAAATCTAAATGGGTAGTGAGGCGCACCTGGTTCAGCTAGTAACAAATAAAAAATAGAAAACGTAACAAATCGGATGAACAATATATATGGGAGCAATAGCTATATCTGAACCGATATCATTTATGATAAACTTGTTTCTATGCTTAATTTGGTGGTAAGTGTCAAATTCTATCCCATTCGGGCTAATATTACACGTTTGTTGCACAATAAAAGGCAAATCGGACGAAGATATATGTGGGAGCTACGTCCAAATCTGAACCGATCTCGATACAATTTGGGAAAGGTATTTCTGCGCTGTATTTGATATATTTCCCCAAATATCGCGGTTACAGGAGGATAAAAATGTCAAATCGGATGAACAATATAAACGGGAGCAATAGCTGTATCTAAATTAATTTCGATCAAATTTGGTATACTTAGGCTTAATTTGGTCGTATATGCAAAATTCCAGACTATTTGGGCCGATATTACACATCATATAATGACTTGTGCAAAATTTCATCTAGATCGGGCAATAAATGCAACCTGTACAAATAACGGTCATTCATAAATCGACTGTGATTCCACGCAGATCATCCAAAAGAACTATTGGGTCTATCTCGTTTACTTTTGCTTGTTACAAACAAATGTACAAAGACATAATACCCTCACCACCTTAAATTAAAACAACTTTTTGCATATAATTAAATAATTCCGACAGGGAGCGTGCATAGCCACAGAGCTGTATTTCTGTAGTTCTACGAAAGCTGTTCTACCTCTCTATTGTAAGATGTTATCTTAATGTTATCGATATAAGAAATGAGACCGCCTTTTCTGAATTGTGGACGGAAAAGCGTTTCCGTTGCAGTCATATGTTACAGCGGGTTTACATGCAAATTTTAATTCGGATTAACCCACATTATCAGGATTAATTACATAATCTATATTTATTCAACGAGATTTGCTATACAAAATTACATCTTCTCAAGACCGGAGCAGGTAGGTAGATGCCACAACGCCTGAGAACATTCATATGTCAAAAATGTTAAAGTGTTTTGTCAGAAATAATTAGATCTTTATATGTTTTCTTATACGATGCAAATCGGAGGTTGTAATGATATGTATTTTTCAAAATTTTTTACAAATTTCAATAAATTTTCATTCACGATTTTCAATTCCAAAATCGGTTTGGCAGTTCATTGTCCCAGCAGCTGTGTCAATGCGACTACCTGTATTCTTCTACCATGGGTGTATCTAAACACACTACATTAACCCACCGGTCTTATTAGATCTTCAATAGTATAAATGCGACATTAGGTGCCTATTTCATAATTATCTTCAGAATGTTATAGCATACTTTTAAGCGCTCGCAATATTCACTATACTTTAAAGAAACGCTATGATATAAAATATACTTATACTATATTTATACCATATATTTACAAATGTTAAAAGCTCTCTAGAATACTAATAGTATGCTATGAAAATTCTAAAGATAAATATGGAAAAATCGCTTTACTTTTGACTGTTACATTATCCTTGTCCTGCGATCCTTACAAAAGACAAGACAGACAAGACAGATTATATGTGTTAATTGTCAAAACACGAAAATTTCTCCGTGTTGGTCCGTGACATTGCAAAACAAAACGTTTGAATATTTTATTCTTTTGTTTTCCAGCAATATTCAATAGTTTTTTTTTTTTTTTCATTTGTCCCTAATGTCCGAACATTTTAAAGCATCCACCCATGGTAAAATCAAGAAGGTAAAGTCATGCAATCATTTGTTTAAAATTTTTTCAAAAATTATTTATTTTTTATTTGTCATAAATCCATTCAGAGATGGAAACTTTTTTTATTCGGTGAAATTTGACAAGGTAAATTACAGGAAACGCACAGAGATGGACATTATTATTTGAAGTGCTTTAACTTCCATTAAAAGTAAACTTTTTTTCGGGACTCTTTTACCCATGCTTTGTTTAAAGATTTGCCTATTCAGTTCAAGCCCAATACGGTGACTTTTCCAAATCGTACACCTACATTAATGCTCTGTTTCAGAATTTACTAGCTGTGTAAATTTTTCCAATAGCAAAAAATTGCCAGTGAAATCGGTTGGAAAATACAGTTGAGGTCTTTATAAAGTGGGAGATAGCGTTTTATGGGAGTTTTAACAAATCGTGAGACTGGGGTTGTTGTCTTTACGAGTTTCAAATACCAAAATTGAGAGAAAGGGCGTAGTTAATTCAGAATACCGAATACCGGGAAATAACGTGTATATGTGTGCCATGTAGAAACAAAGTGTTTGGTATGTATTAAAAAGATTAAATAATTCGTTGAAAAATGTGACCAAAACCGTAAAATACCGAAAATAGAGAGGGGCCGTTATATGGGTTCTAAAGGAATCCGTGGATCTACATAGACAATTTTCCGCCACTGCGAACTCTAAATATCGAATTCAAAATAAAGAATTAAATAATCCAAATATCGATTATCGCGAGGTGCCGTTTTATGAGGGCTATACAATAACGTGGATCGATACCGATGTTTCCTTTATGATATTGGGAAAAAATTACAAATCTAGTAAATTCTTGTAGGTTCTGGAATAGAGCAACTATACATTCTATTCAAAACTAAATTAAGTTGGATTTACACACATTTGGCCATTATATTTTTGTAAAAGCTCTACTCTAATTTACTTCACCACATCTATGGCCATATAACCCTACCGGGAATAGTTCAATCCTCTTCGAATATTTGAACCAATTTCTATTCTGTATTTGTTTAGTTTTCGTTCGGAAGATCAAACATTCAATTCGACTCACTTCGCAGGCGACGACGTCATTGTGTTTCACTCTCCTCTTTTTTTATTCAGTCAAAAGTGTCTGGCTTAAATTCTGATCATTTTTTCAGCAGAAATTCGAAATCCTCTTGTTGTGTTGCTTTGATATAAAAAGCTCTCACCTGAAATTGGCGGTTTCATTTGTATTCAATATTCAATTATGAAACAAGCTTAACAACGGCACATCGGTCGCGAAACAAGCCACAGCAACCGGGGATCGAAGAAAACGAATGAAATACAAAAACAATTTTGCTAAAAACATTGTTATAGTGAATTCCCGCCAGAATAGAACAAAAACAAACTGTTTAACGAAAAAAAAAAAAAACAATTAGAAAATACTTGTGACTAGTTTGAAAATAAAATTACAAAAAAAAAACGTGCGTTTAGTCTCAAATAATTTATATATTTGAAATATTTTCGATACGGGGCTTTAAGTTGAGTACGAGGTCGAAGCACAATCATGTTCCTTAAGGTAAGTGTTGTTAAACATAGCGAGGATATTTTCCCAGGATTTCCTAGAGACACGGTCAGTTACAAACTCCAGAGAGGTCACAAAAAATGAAGTTTTACTGTGGTGGTTTTTTTATTTTTCTAAAAATAAGTTACTCTTTTTCGTGTTTTGGATAACATCTTGGAAATGTAAACATTTCCGCATTTATTATTAAGGCATTTCGTATTTCAGAGAATTGCCGCGCGCGCAGTGATATGAACAAATGAATGAATTCGAATATTTGCCAGGAGTGAAGGTATGTTTTGATTTTGGTGCATGCACTCTATACTCGGTCAAGTGGCTCAGGCTGATGTTATGTCTTCGGATATCTTATTTATTACATTTTACTTGGGCTTAAATACTTGGGCCATAAAAGGTAATTTTGGTCTAAATATTGTAACACATAGTGCTAACGTCTACAGGCTATTTGCCTTTCATGCCGGGTGGCATGAATTTCGTTAGATCAGAAAATGTGTAGGGGTCCAAAGTCCACAATTACAAATGTATTGTAGGGGATTGCGGAGAATGTTTTCTCTGAAAGGAATATCTTTTGTCCTGATCCGCCTTAACAAACAAATATTGTATATATAGCCAACCATATTTCATAAAGTAAGCAGATTGGACTACAACCGTTGCAATTTAAGAAATTGTATTGAATCAAAGAACAGTGATCATTTTATTCTTATTTAATTTTTCTTTCATCAATAAAAGTATTGGGATTCTATGTTCGAACAAATTGCCTTTTTAAACACAAATTTCAGTTATATCGGTTATTGCACTTCAAAGTGTAATAAAATGGGCGGTACAGTTATATGGTTCTGGTGTATTTGATCAAAATGCGGAATATTGGGAGAACCCGTTATACGGAAGCTATCTTTGTGAGCATCGAATTCAAAATTTGAAACACTTCAGTTGAAAAACATGTATAAAATCATTAAAATACTTAGACCTTCCGTTATTTAAATACCAAATTGTAAATAATTCCTTTGAGAAATATATATTATCTCGAGAAGATATTGTTCCAGAACTTGAAAGAATCTACCATAATCTATAAGTAACATTTTGATGTCTTCAATAATCACTTAAGCTATGCTAAAACCATAAATACAGGGTGAGATAAAAAAACTGCAACAAAGTCAAACGCCATAATTTTTAATTTTTTTTTTAATTTTATTAAGTGAAACCAAAAATGTCGGAAATAGCATCAAATTTAAGAATAAGTTTAGATTTTTTCGAATTGGTCACGTTTGGCACTAATTATGGCCTTGAGGTGGTATTTGGTATTTTTTAGTGCCAACCATGTTTTCCAAAATACTCCAGACAAAATAGTCCAACGGATTGGTATCCGGAGATTTTGGTTTCCATTGTGCGCTGGAAATGAAGCGAGGAACCTCATTTTGTTACCATTCTTGGGTAGCGGGTGCTGAGTGCGATGGTGCTGGAATGTCCAAAGTCTGCTGCTAAAATGTTTGCGTGCTCAAGGTTTTAATACACCCTCAAGAATATTTTCCCAATAATATTCGGCAATAATTCTGATGCCACTGTTAATTAATACGAGAGGAGAGCGACCATCGGTTGTTATGGCGTCTCACACCATCAACATGATCGGTGCTTGAGTTCTAGTGGCCAACCAAAGGTGCACATTTTTAGCTGACCTCTTTGGCAAGTAAACACGATCATTTTGTTTCTTTACAAACTGTTGGACAACGACTGTTTTCTCATCGAAGAAAACCAAATTCGGCAGTTCACTAATTTCGGTCAAACGAAGCAGCCCTTTAACTCTTTTGAGTCTATTTTCTTTCGGCTGCGGTGTAAGTTTTTGCACTTTTTGGAATTTCAATGGCTTTGTCCCGATTTCATTTTTCAATATTTACCGAATGGAATATTTGGATATGTTCAGCTCACAAGCCATTTTTCGGCCACTACGACGCGGGTTAAGATCAAGCCGCTTCTTTACTTTTCGAACCATTTCTGCTGATGTTGCTGTTTTCTTCCGTCCACTTCCTTGACGTCGGGCTACGCTACCAGTATCACGGTAACGAGCGATGGTACCAGACACAGAAGATTTATTCACATTTAAATGCTGGAGTGCTCTAACGATAGCCACTTGTGGTTTTCCAGCTAAATATAAAGAAATCACACTATCACGCTTGAATTCCATCGCGAATAACTTTTTTCTGGGAAATTCTCACCAAAATGCTTTTGTACGCTTGTAAACAATATAATGAGCTGTCACTGGAATAATTTTAATAGTTGTCGGACGAGTGGCTTGGTAATGGCAGCAGTCTGAAGTTGGTTGCAGTATTTTTTCATCTCACCCTGTATCTTTAAAGGTTTATTTCGCTACAAAAACTGTAGATTTTGTCGATGCTTATGTTGCAATAAGCATTTTGAAAACGCACGAATTTGAATATTTTCTGAACATTTTTTGTTAATGAAAAATTACACACACATAAACAAATAAAGTTGACAAATTAAGCCATGAAAAAAACATATGGTATCATAACCCTACCTTGATTTTATTGTACCTGGTTATTATATAAGCCTGCACAGGGTACAATTGGTAATATTAGTGTCAAGTTCTATATGACATATTGTGTTTTCATTCTTTTGGACATAGCGCATGGTATAATTATTGTAGGTAACAGCAAGTCCCAGTAATACTAGTGTAAATTTCGATATGACGTTTTATGATTTAATTCCATTTCCCGATATACAATAGGTATACCCTTTTTTGATATAAAATGTCACTGCAGTGCAATGTGAACATATTTTTTGCCTACTAATAGAAAAAATCGCTGTTGTACCTAACAAAACGCCAAAGGCGATGGTTCGGAGACCTTTTTTTGCGGTTAAGAAACGGCGACACCACGTTAGAAAATTTATTCGTATATTTCATATTTGCTAAAATTGCAAAATGTAAATTACTTTATGTGTGTATGTAATTTGGTTTCGATTTGAAAGGAATGTTGCTTTTTCCACGATTTTCTAGCGATTGCTTGAAGTGTAGAGAGATTAGGTTCTACAGCTAACAACTACACATTCAGGGGAATGATAATAAAACATTCAAATTAGATAATTGAGGAACTATTCTTTTGCATTTAAAATTTAGTAATCCAAATTCCAGAAAAGTATATTTAAATTAAAAAAAATTATTGAAAATTAATTTTGTTTACATTTTTGGACACATAACTCTGACACTTGTATGACTCTGACAAAAACAAATTTGTATGTGATTGTTGTTACGATTGTTGTAGAACAACACTTGTTGTTACCTTTATTATTCTACCATGGACATAGTGTTAAATATTCTTAATAAGATATATTGAAATTTCAGATTTTCAATAAATATTTAGAAATTATGTTCAGAGGAACGTGTGAAGGCATTAGAAATAGCCTTTTCAATTTAATAACCAAATTCGAAAGGTGTAAATTTTTTAAATGAAAATAATTCATTGAAGTATATGTAAATCTGACACAAGCATTTTATACAATAACATATTTCTGCTTTATGTGACGCAAATCGGAGGTTGTTATGATATGCATTTTCAACAATTTTTACAAATTTCAATCATTTTTCATTCAACATTTTCAATTCCAAAATCGGTTTGACAGTTCACTGTCCCAGCAGCTGTGTCGACCTGTATTCTTCTACCATGGTTATACCTTATTAAATTGTCTTGGTTACTACAACAACATCTTTCCACTCAGTGAGAAGGTGCCGATAGTAAAGAGAAAGTTTCTCTCTTTCCAGAGAAACCATTGCGAAATGTAAACATCCATCAATTGTGAATATCTGTATTTAAGTAGTTTGGTCGTATTGAGTAAACTAACACTTTGAATATCAGGTAGTCCTGCTGGGTGTACATATTAGGGCGTACATATTCGATGAGCGGGAGGATGAGGGTGGGGGTGGTTTGAAATAAAAACAGCCAAAGGATCTCTATTACTCCACAGCAATTGCATATTTTTGCATATTTTTGAATTTAGTAAATTCGAAAATTGTCCAATCATTGACAATTAAATTTATTTCAAATGTGACTTCCATTATCATTTATGATTAAATTCTAATATGAATTACGAAATATGCGAAATTTGACCTTTGCGGTATGGCTTGAATTTTTAAATGCTTCTATGCGATGTGTGAAGATTATAGAACCTTGATAACAACATTAAACTGCGATCAGTGGCACAAGTCTGTAATAACATACAAATACATATAATTACTTATATTACGGACATATTTTTTGGTTATGTAATTATTGAAAGATCTGGGTGTGTCATTTAAATATTGAATGAATTTTAAATGACCGTCTTCAGCTTCATCTTATTACGTTATCTGTGCAAACAAAGTATGTATGTACAATCTTTGCAATGGAAAATGCCATTTGTCATATCTGTTCCTTCTGAAGCGAATTTAGAGCACCTAAAATTCTTGAAAGTAGCCACTTATCTTCTAACTGTAAATTGTTTGTCAGAAACTGTAGGCCAACCATATTGAGTGACTTAACAAACGCGCATCGATCAGTCGACTCACATTAGCGTTATCATATTGCGAGCAAACTTGTTACCAAGAACATTTATTGATACGTTAAACTGGTCATATTTAATTGAATGCGTTTTGTTTTTGTCGGAGTATTAACTGTGTCAATATGATAATCCTTAACACCTTAAAAGCCGTCAGAATTGTGGCAGCATTTGAAGCAAATACTCGATTAATTAAAAAATGATGTAGCAAAGCTTAGATTATTGTGAGAGACTAGACTCTTTAAAAAAACGTGTTTAAATTATTCAATTTTAACTCGGAACTTATATAAACCTAAAAAGTGTCGAATTGCGTTGTGGTTTATTTACAATCCGTATAACATAAAGATTTCAATTTTTACATCCAAGAAACTTTTACAAACTTGCATTAGAAATTAGATTCCGACTTTTAATCAGATAAACGTTGATTTTCAATTTTTTACTTTCAAATCCATACTCCATCCTAGAATATATGATGGACTGCAAGAATGTAAAACGATAACCGATTTATCCTTTAAGATATCGCAAAAAAAAAAAAAAAATTAAAAAAATAGTAGATTCTTGCGGGATCTGGAATAAAGAAAGAGTAATTAATAATTAAGCGAAAGAAATCGTTGCATACTTTGGCTTGTTTTCAATTAAAAATATATTGAAAGTCAAAGAAAGAAAATACTGAAAGTTCATTATCTGTGGTTCGAAGACTAGTCAAAATCCGTAGCAGCTCTTTGACATCGTGACTATTGTAAGCTGTTATCTCTCACCTAGCGACATTTTTTTTAAAGAGAAATAAGACTCCATTGAAGACTTAGTAGCTAGAGACTATTACTGATTGGCGAATGCCAATAACTGATTCTGAAAAGCGTGTGGGGTATATGATCACAAGACTAGGTATGTCGCAGAACTTTCCGAATATAGAATGTGGCAAAAGCAAAAGTTGGGCCTCATTGAAAAGAAGAACGCTGGTGGAATACTTATATCGACGAAAATGTATCAGGACAAGGCGGGAATATACCAGAGTTACAAGAAAACGTGTAGCTGTATGTAGCATATAAAGAGGCAAAAAACTGCTATAAAAATGCATAAACAAGACCAATAAGAACAAGTGCTAGCAAAAGCTCAGTGGAAAAGATGGACGATGTTGAAATGTGAAATGCGTTGAGTCCACTGCAGATATGCCATCTTTCTGAACAGAATTGTTACAAGCAGCCGCACGCAGTCTTAACAATAGATAGGCAATCGGACATGATGGAATACCAGTGGAAGTTATAAAGCAAATAGCAATATCTCGGGCTAACCGAATGCAATGCCAAAAGCTAGAGAATATTTTATTGTTTATAGCTCAAACTAATATCAGACTACAGGAATTGAATACATTTAGTTATATGATGTTAACGAAATACGACGACCGTACAAATTTTCAAAGTAGAGCAGTTTCAATTTTTGGTTTTTTTATGTTGACAATAAAAAAGAAAAACCGCTTAAAAGGTTTCTACAGAAATCTTAACTGTAAAATGTTAAAAAGTCACGTCAGAGGGCAGCAATAGCATGATTGAGCAGGCTTGATCTCACTCAGTGGAAATACAATCAAACTCAAACAGTCTGTCAGGTGTAGCGTGCTTATTCGAGTTGCTCATGCGAAACGAAAAAGTTGTGAGTGAACATGAATTGATCGAAGCTTTGTGTTCGAAATCAAACAGCTCACATAAGTTATTTGTTTACGGACTTATGTTGAGTTGTTCATATCGGGGCGATCATTTATGATGAGTCTGATTAAAACGCAAATGTTCGAATCTGCGCGAAATCTGATTTTAATTTTACTAAGGATTTCATAACATAAAATAAATTTCGAAGAAATATTTAATAAATAGATATTTTTTAATTTTATTTGGGGTTTTGGTATTTTAGACTGCAGTGATTTATTTCTAACAAACAAAATTAATATTTTTAATAAAGAAACACATTAATGGTATTTTATTTTACAATATTGGTCAAGATTTCTCACACAAAACTTCGACCTTTTTGTTTACCTACACAGTGTTTGTAACAATTTCGTTCGCACTATCACAATATTCTTCCATTTCAAATATTATAAAAGTCAAAATAAACTGTCCCAACTTGATTGAATGGTTGAACAAATAATGATGCTGAGCGAACTCGATTGAAAGAAAAAAAATCACAGTTGTGTTTGCTCACTTCAGTTCACGTGTTCGATCAACTCATGTCGCTGAACACATCAAACGCTCTCGAACACTCATGTTTGATTGTGAGTGAAGTGATTCAAACTGAGTGTTTGATCCGATGCGACTGCATCAACAAAAATCATGTATGAAACCGAGTATGATTGAATTTTTTCATACTCGTTGCAGCCCTCTGGTGTGCGTACATAAAAAGCTTGAAATCTTCGCATGGATTGTCAGAGCCGCACGCGAATCTTGCCGTCGGTATTCCTTATAATTTGACATTAATATGCATAGCCATGATGCAAAGCGACGGAAATAAAGAGACTATGAATGTAATGAATTTCCTCCTTATTCCCTTGTAAATTTTTTTGGATGTCTGGCAATCAGAAATGCTAAGAAAGCTGACAAATTATTGATAAGTTCTAACTCGCTAAATACAACAAAAAAGGTATTATGTATCTCATTGGATACGCTGGTGCCGCTAGGCATGCTTTTTCTCAGATAAACCAGTTAGGTTCTTCTTTTTTACGACAGTGTAGCGGCGAGTTAATTCACACTTTATTCAATTGGTTGATTTTTTTTTATCAAATGGTTAAAAATAATATTTAATGCAACCAGAGATGGCAAGAGTATTTTGTTTTGTTTTTATTAGTGTGTAATAAGTGAAGAAAAGAAACGGGAGGCGAAGACATGTTAACAGATCTCCTTGCAGACATACACATAAGCCATATAAAAACGCTGAAATCAAGATATTGCAATGGTACACTTAATCAAGGTGGTATAGGTTTGAGAAAATTGAGGCCTATCTGTATGGATTGAAATGTCAGTACTACCATCAAAACAAATGCATTCATTTATTTTGGTTATTTGATTTATTTAATTAACCAAAAAATCGCAGAAAGAAAGTTAATATTAAAAAAATGTTTAGTTAATAAGGCGCTCAATCTTTTTCGAGGGAAAAGAAAAACCATGCCGCATTTACTAACAAACTTGTACTTTTCATGTTTTCCAAAAATTGGAAAATGCAGTATACCAAATGCATATGCGTAATTTGTTTTCAATTTAAAATGAATGTAGCACTTTCTAGGATTTCCTTGCGATTCCTTGAAGTGTTCCAAGTTTTATACCTACAACTGGCAACTATACATTTATCATAAAGGAAAGATCGGTTGTTGTAGTAAAAAACAGAGAATACATTAATAAACTCCAATGTGGTTGTTGTTGAATTGCATTTGTTGTAGTTTATTATTTCAACCTTATAATAATTGTGTTCTTAACATATTTCAAAGTTTGGACAACTACGCTCCATTTTACGACGTACCATCACTGGTCGTAAAATACGTTTGGAATTTGAATTTGATACAGTTTTCCAGGTGTTTTACTTATTTAAACTGAGTGAACATGCGTTCATATGTGTGCACATGGACATATGTATATGAATACCGTTTTGTTAAATGTAACACTTTACGACATGTTGTAAATATTTATATAAGTAAGAAAGAAATTATTTTTTTTGTTTTTATAAATTTCAGAGTGGTCTTCTTCGAAGCATTTTTTTGATTTGCCTACTGGGAGTTATGTGTGGGCGAGGATCGGCGAATTACTGTTCCCTAGATCGAATGAAGAAACTAGCTATGGAAGCATGTGAACATCTTTTCGAAGCTTACGATGTGAGGGAAAGGCGCTCTATAGATCATGGACACATGGATAATAATGCAGAATATGAACGTAAGTTTTTCGCATTTGTAAAAACGCTATAGGTCGCAATTATCGACCGATCCACAACTTTTGTGTGAAAATTTTCATTCAATAACAACTGCCACTTTTGACTTTAACATTCATGTTGATTTCGTTGAAGATATCGAACATGCAGCTAAATATATACATAATTCTAAATATTTAAATATTCGTTTGAATTCCTATTTGGAGGACAGACCAGACCAAGGTAACCCTATTGCACTATTTCAAGAATTTCCTGAAATGTTTTCTTTTTTCGAAATAACGTAGTTTGTGCAAGACATGAGAACCGAAAAACGTAATAATGAAAACATTCCAACCTTAAATTGGAAATACATTATTTGTAACCCCTAACAATTGAATGCTAGAGAACGAATCTTGATGTTTGGAATGATAGTTTATGTAGTTCAATTATAGCATTTTCAAATTAAATGAAACCTTTTGCAACAAAAATGAAACTTTTGCAATTGAAATGAAGTCTTTTGCAGCGAAAATGAAACCTTTTGCAACCGCAAAGAAACTTTTTGCAAATCAAATGCAACTTTTAGATTTATAGAAAAAAATATAACAAAACATTTTTACTTTTACTAGGTTTAAACTTAAGTCAACTAATTATTACTAATATATAGTTGAAAAAGAATTTTAATTGATTATTAAGATCTATGTTTACTAAAATTATTTCATAATATTTCCATATTAAATATTCTTATACTTAACGCAAAAAAAAAGGAATTGAAACAAATGTATTCCCTTATTACTATAAAAAGAATGGACAGGACTGAAATTCGAAATTTTGCTTGATTAGCGAACCATTCAAAAACCTACACAACAAGGCTAATTTAATATTTACATGTATGACTTCCCTCATACTTTGAACAATTCTTTGGGTGTATTGCACGCAGACGACTGTCTTTTGTAGCGCACGCTGAATCTCCTTGTGCGGCGTTGTCTATGCTATCTTGTCATTGAAACACAGTTAATGCTTTCTATACTGATTGGGGTATAAAAATCAATACTTCTAAGAGCAAGGCTATGTGTTTGAGGAACGCTTTAGAGAAATGTAAGAGATGGGTTATACCAGAAAGCAAGTCCTTGGAGTTGCCTTTGAATGGAGTAGAAATACCATTTAGAGATAGATTTAAATATTTGGGTGTTTGGTAAAACAAATTATTCAAATTCAATGCAAATGCGCGTGGCTACTTAGGTAAGGCATATGGTATTAAGGTGTCATTTGGAAGACTTATTAATAACAAGACATTACCGGAGAAAACAAAGATAATGCTGTACAAAACTAGCATTAGGCCTGTACTGGAGTACGCACTACCTATATGGTTCCCAATCTCCCCAACGGTAATAAAAGGGTTTGGGATATTAGAAAGAAAAATACTTCGTATATGCATTTAAAACAATTTCAGTACCACTAGCTAACTAATTAATTAAGTACACTAATTAACTAAAGCCAGACGCTGAAAATACGCTTTAGTCATTAAAACAAAACATTATAGTTGAATGCGAATGCGTATTCCGGGCTTTAGGTAGGCCTGTAATTCCTTTTCATGAATCCATTGTATTATATACAGAAATCGGAGGTGGGTACTTACTTCCTACGCAGTTAAAAACAAAGTAAATCACAAAAGTTCAGACCTGCATATCATGGGGTGAAGTGTTAGATTACCAGGTCATAATTTGTCATGTTTCCGTATAATTTTCTAACAGCATGGTGCAATAAGGAGGTAGAACAGCTTCGTAAAACTGCAGAAATACAGCCCTGAGGCTATGCCCGCTTCCTTTCAAATATGTATGCAACAACTTGTTTTCATTTACTCAGCGTTTTTCCTCATTTTTGTAAACAGTTCTATCTTTCAATTCCATGGCAAAACTGTCGAATAGCTTTAATGCGCGTTTCGCAATTTACGCGTTTTTCAATCATTGATTTTGAAAATTTTCTGTTTTTACAATAAATACATACACAATATGGCAGGAGTCTGGCACACCTAGAAATTGTGATCAGCTGGTAGCTCTACCTCATCTTTTTATTGTACCATGTCTAATAGTAAAAACTGTAGCGAGTTCAGCTACAACATTTTACCGGATTAATCCACATTATCAGAATTTATGATCCAATCAAGTTTACAAGACAACCTGTTAAAAATATCAATCGGTTATGTCGACAGATTGATTTGCGCTATGATTGCTGAAAATGTTGACCCTCTGTAGGGGAGGTGCCGAAAGAGTGAGCCAATATTTTTTATTTCATATCCGGCCTAAAGGTGAGAATACATAAAACGCTTTTTTGACTGGCTTTCTCGTAGAGGATTAAAGGAGTTTTAGGTTGACTTAGTTCGGTTTTGCCCTACCCTCCTTTGTTATTTTACGAAGAAGCCAGCCGATAACTTACGCCAGTCAAAAAAAAGAGTTTTATGTACTCTCACCTTAAGTCCAATGTGAATATTACAAAGTGCCAGATTAAGATTATATTAAATCGATTTGGACTAAGGCAAATGCTGAAGTGCGCGTCAGATACCAGATATAGTGAAACGAAGTATTCCACTTAATCTAATACTGATTGGGGAGCAAAATTTAAAGTAAATCGAACATTTGTGTTCAAAATACTTTGTACATACTTTTGAGTGCGGTTGAGGCGCTGGGATAATCTAGCAATAAACAATAAATATTCTAAAATTTCATACTTCCCATGAGAATAATTCGGTGATCTTGTGCGGTGACGCACACGATAATGAGATAATAAAGCTGATGACCCACACGCACAGATATCGATGCGCTCAGTAGATGTACAAGACCACTTGAATGAAATGACAAGCAGCCCTGCAATGTTCTCTATTCAGTATTAGAATAGATTAGAATAATTTTGTGGCTGCGATTATTTTTAAATGAAAACTAGAATTGAAACTACATTCAAAGAATAAGGTTGTTCATTTTTTCTCACATTTTATATTTGGCACTTCGATCCAAATACAAGGAATTGAATTGATAACGGAAGAGTGAGGTTGGATTCTTCTCTTATGTAAACATTGATCCTTCAAGCCGGATCGAGAATGAATCGGAATCGGATGGATCGAGAATCGAGAAGAAACTACGTCCAAAGAATAAGGTTGTTTTTTCTTTTCTCATTTTCTACATTGATCCTCCGAGAAGGATCTAAATAGAGAATACAGATGACAATTGAAAAGGTGATTGGACTCTTTTAACATTTAAACAATTTGTTTTCAATCTTATGCGAATAATTTTGACTTTCAATGCTTATTAGAGACATAAGGATTGAAAATTATGACCCATTGTGGGGAAGGTACCATATATCTATTATCTTCATATCAGATCTTTGCGTTAGTGGAAATATTGGAGTGTGTGATATTTGAGAATTTTTTTTTCGCATTTTTATGAGCGTTTTTTGTTCGAAATGTTGACCCCTTTGAGGTGACGGTACCAGGAGTAGGCCGATATATCCCACCCTCACATCAGATATTGTGTTAGTAGAAATATTGAGATGTGCGAAGTTTGAGAGGAATCGGATGTTCATATTGAATTTTAAGAGCTTCATGATTATTCAAAAATCTTCACACCAGATATTTTGTTGGTAAAAATATTGGGATGTGCGGAGTTTGAGAGAAATCGGATGCTCATGTCGCGTTTTATGAGCTTCATGATTATTTAAAATGTTGACCTATTGTGGGAGAGGTACCACAAGGAGTGCACCGATATATTCCATCTTCACACCAGATCTTTTGTTGGTAAAAATGTTAAGATGTGTGAAATTTGAAGATAATCTTATTTTACATTTTATAAGAGTTGTAATTATTCCAAATGTTGACCCCTCGTGGGGGAGGCACTTGATGTAGTGGGTCGATATTGTCCATTTTCGTACTAAACCTAGCATTGGTAAAAGGCAAATTATTCTCTTTAAAAAATTTGATCTTTTGTCGGAGAGGTATCAGTGGACCTATATTGACCATCTCCGAACTCGATTATAGATTGATAATAATGTTACGATGCACCAAGTTTGGACCAAACCAAACAGACAGGCGGACGGACACCCCCAGATCAACTCCAAACGTTTTGAAACGGATTTGGTCCAAAGAGACCTATGGTCTAAACCCGGTTTTTTGATGATTTTGGCCGTATGAATTAAAAAATGTATCGTTTCATAGCCGGATTTATTTTTTTAATCCAGAGTGGAATCAATATACTAACGGGACGCATCACTGGACGCAGCATTAGTACGCACATCATTAGCGATGTACACTGCAAAGTCGCAAATGTTTCCGCCAAGGCGTTTTTTATACTTTGTATTCGATCAATAACAACAAAATTTATTTGCTCATATATTGGATGTTGTATTATATTTCGTGCAGAATGTCACCAATGTGAATAAACACCGATTTTCCAACATCAATTGTCTCTATATTAGGTTTTTTGATAGATCATTTTTGGCTATTTTTTGCATTTCCTTTTCGTTGGTCCTTATGGTGTATCTAAACACACACACACACGATTAACCCAATGAATCTATTATATCCCGTCGGTTAACTTTCAATGGTATAAATTCATTATTAGCCAGAAAGTACGGGAACAGAAAACTAGTAAAAATGTCAACAAAAAAATGCATTTCTTCAAAATTAACATTTTAGCAAATCGGAAGTGGGCTACTATTTTATACTCGGCTAAATTTGCTTTGTAAAATGTTTTTAGAGGAAAAATCATTCGCTGTCATTTTTGCTTGTTTTCTCTTAAATTTTGGCAAGTTTTGTAAGATTTTCAGGTACAGGAACGGGTTTCTGCCAATTTACAATTCTTCACCATTATATTGTGGGCTGCTATCGAGTTTAGCCTTTTCGTCGCTGTCCTCAAACTAATGTCCTCTTCAGATGCTTCAGGACTGAATACTGACAATTAATTTTGTATTTAAAGGTCAAAAAGTCAATCAACTCTTAAGTGTTGGTTTTGAGATACAGGTTTACCAGGCCATCAAGTTGAGTTTTAACACATTCACACGCACGATGTGTACGTAGCCAATTTAAAAAAAATGAATGAATTGAAAACCAGAAAAAATGCATCAATACTAAAATTATTGGTGAAGAAAAAAAAAAAACAATCCGTTTACTTTTGAGAATAGTAATTCATGTGACCTCAAAAATTTACATTGACCCTGTCCATGTGGCGTTTACATCCACCTATAAATATGTATGGTTTGTTTATTAAGTTGGGTTCGATAAAGCTCAAAGAAATTCAAATTTCAGCATCGTAAAAAAGTACAAGTAAAACACGTGCCCGAATAGTCGGGCGAACAAAATTTCAAAGTTGGACATTTTCAACATAGTCAATTGAAACAATTCCGTTTGGTGTGTGAAGAAATGAAAAATACAAAAAAAATGTGAATGTTTATAATTGGACTGATTACAATTGGGAGAATTTAAAAATATATATTTTTACAACGTACAAAACGTACATTTTGCCCAAGGGTTTAATACACCCTCCAGAATATGTTCGGGATAATATTCGGCATTTATTCTGATGCCAAGGTCGATTAATACGAGCGGAGAGCGACCATCGGCTGTTATGGCGACCCACACCATCCGAAGGTGCACATTTTCAGCTGACCTCTTTGGCCAGTAAACACGATAATTTTGGTTGTTTTCAAACTGCTACACAACGAATGTTTTCTCATCGGAGAAATCCGAATTCGGCAGTTCCCCACTTTGTGTCTATTTTCTTTCTGTTGCAGTGTAAGTTCTTGCACTTTTTGGAATTTCAATGGCTTTAGTCCGAGCTCATTTTTCAATATTTGCCGAATGGAATATTGCGATATGTTCAGCTCACGAGCCATTTTTCGGCCACTGCGACGCGGGTTTCGATCAAGTCGCTTCTTCATATTTCCAACCATTTCTGCTGATGTTGCAGTTTTCTTCCACTTCCGTCCACTTACTTGACGTCGTCACTATCCCGCTTGATTTCCATCACGAATACTTTTTTTTTTCTGGAAAATTCTCATCAAAATGCTTTTGTACGCTTGTAGACAATATAATGAGCTGTAACTGGAATAATTTAACAGCTGTCGGGCAGCAGTTTTAAATTGGTGGCAGTTTTTTCCTCTCACCCTATATTTTGGTAATAAGAATGCTTTCTTGCTTTATCATCATCGTTATGTTTCATTCACACACATTTACATTAACAATAACAATAATATAATATCTTTTCAAGTATGTCTATTTTCCGCATTTTTTAAATACAAAAAAAGAGATCAAGAGATTTTTCCAATAACCCACTTTACTGTTAACTGTTACTATTTGAAATCGTTTGAAAACAAAAACGGAAATATAAATACCGTTATTGATTTTAAACTTGATTTAATTTGTGTATTCACATGTGTTTACAAATAACTGATTTATCGCCTTCTCTTCCCCCTGTCTTTACAGCTACCAGTTCGTTTCGCTATGTCAGACGCAGCTCCTATCCACAAGGTGGCTATTTGAAAGTGGGTATCGATCATTACAGGAAACTCAGCACGCTGGACATTAATCCCCGTTACAAGGCCAAGAAAGTCTGGCAGATGCAGCACGGTGAGAAGTTACGCTTCAAGCGGAATGAGGACAGTTACGGCAGCAGCATTTCGTACTGCTGTTTCCACAAATGCGATGAGGATTTCTTCTGTTGAGAAAGTTGTTTGAAAAAGTTCCGTCCGTCTCTTGGAATAGCAATGAGTCGAAAATTCCGGTTCCGTCCAAATAAATTTTACTTCTAAAATTAGTCATAAGTTAGTGATAACAATAGGCTTTTGTACCTAATTAGCATAAATATTTGAATCTATCCATGGGTGTGTGTGTAGAACACACCATCAGTATTATCAAGTTAAGTTCCCGCCATCGTAGCATCAGAAGTGAAGTGAATATTACCGGATTACCCGGCTCCGGCCCCGGCCCCGGCCCCGGCCCGGACCATGTCATGCCATGCCATATCAACGCAATGCAAATTTGTCCATTCATTATTATTTTACATTTTCCTGAAATATTTCATAAGATTGTTTAACTTGAGTTACAAACGTGCTTTCTTGCTGTTGTTGTTGTTGTTGTCGCAAACCAATATTTCTAATGAATGCATGAATTATTATAAACGAATTTATTAAAAGAGAAACAAAAACAACAACAGCATGCAGTATTGTTTATCCAAACAAAAAAAAAAAAAAAAATACCGATCAATAAATGTTTACTATAATGACTGAAATTAATATTGCATATTTTTAGGCATTTATTTATTGGTTTTACGAGACAGATCATTCCAGTTCTTAGACTTCAACGAATGTAGACATGCATGCGAGATGCACGCATTGTTGCTCCGTTAACATTAAGAAAACAAATTATAGATATATTTTGTAGAAAAATATAAATATATGGTATTTATATTTAATGTTTTTTGATAATTTTGCTAACATAAAATTAAAATTCTTGCTACAAAACGTCCAAAACAAGAAGGGAGATATTTTTTACGTGCTTTTTGGTTTCTCTCACACACACAAGCGCAATGTTCATTTTGTGCATCATAGTTCTAGTTATACCCTCTATCTTGGAAAGGAGGGTATATTAATTTGTCATTCCGATTGCAACACCTCTAAAAATCCGTTATGGACCCCATAAAGTATATATATTCATGATCAGCATAAACTTCTTTGTCGATTTAATGATGTCTGTCTGTTTGTCCGTCTGTCTGTTGAAATCAAGATGCAGCCCGCAGTAGTTCGTATTCTGTCTTGGAGGGTTGGTATTGAAAATGATCTCATGTACGTTTTGGTTGATGATTTTTCCCACATTTTCCACGGATTTTTCTAAAAAATGGCATTTGATCTTCGTAATGGGTTTTAGCTTTGATGCCGGAACATTGTACATATGTATATGTCCACGTTTTGGTATAGCCCTCATATAACGGAACTTCAACATATTGACACCGAATATCTGGATGTTTTAGCCAAATTTTTGCACGGTTTTGTCCAAAAAATGGTATTTGTAGTTCGTAATGATTATCTAGCTCCACATTTTCCTACAGCTCACCGATATTTGGTATTTTGATAATCCTAGTCCTTGTCGTTGTTGAATAAAATTGTCTATATAGGTTCCCATTTTGGGATGGCCCCCATGTAAGTGGCTCCAGCCACTTTATTGAAAACTTTAACTGCATTATCCTGCCGATCTAACTGGTGATTGTAGTTTAAAGTGGAATACGTTTGAATCCAGATAATTTTATATGATCATTTTTTCTTTGCCTAATGATGGAGGTTATTAAAAGTTCGGCCTGTATAACTTAATCTCATTTTACTTGTTATACCCTCCACCATTCTATTAACTTTGTCATTCCGTTTGTAAATCCTCGAAATACTCATAATCGACTGCAACCAACTTCAGACTGCTGTCATTTCTAAGCCACTCGTCCGACAGCTGTTATAATTATTCCAGTGACAGCTCGTTATATTGTTTACAAGCGTACAAAAGCATTTTGGTGAGAATTTTCCAGAAAAAAAGTTATTAGTGATGGAATTCAAGCGTGATAGTGTGATTTTTTTTATATTTGACTGCAAAACCACAAGAGCACTCCAGCATAAAAATGTGAATAAATCTTTTGTGTCTCGTACCATCGCTCGTTACCGTATCCCGACGTCAAGGAAGTGGACGGAAGAAAACAGCAACATCAGGAGAAATGGTTCGAAAAGTAAAGAAGCGACTTAATCGAAACCCGCGTCGCAGTGGCCGAAAAATGGCTGGTGAGCTGAACATATCGCAATATTCCATTCGGCAAATATTGAAAAACGAGCTCGGGGTAAAGCCATTGAAATCCCAAAAAGAGCAAGAACTTACACCGCAACAGAAAGAAAATAGACTCAAAAGAGTAAAAGAGTTGCTTCCTTGGCCGAAAGTGGTGAACTGCCGAATTTGGCTTTTTCCGATGAGGAAACATTCGTTGTCCAGCAGTTTGTTAACAAACAAAATGATCATGTTAATTTGCTAAAGAGGTCAGCTGAAAATGTGCACCTTCAGTTGGCAACCATAACTCTAAAAATCTAATAACTAACCGCCATAACAGCCGATGGTCGCTCCCCGCTCGTATTAATCGACTGTGGCATCGGAATAAATGCCGAATATTATCGCAAAAATATTCTGGAGGGTGTATTAAAGTCTTGGGCACGCAAAGAATGGTTACAAAATGAGATTCCTCGCTTCATTTCCAACGTCCAATGGCCACCAAAATCTACGGATACCAATCCGTTGGATTATTGCGTCTGGAGTATTTTGGAAAGCAATGTTGGCACTAAAAATACCAAAGTGTCGATTACCTCAAGCGAGCGTTTCGCCGATAATGGACCAAAATTCTGGAGAGCAACATTCGGGCAGCATGTAACGGTTTGATTGGCCGTTTGAAAGCCATAATTCGTTCCAAAGGTAAACAATTCGAACAAATCTAAACTTATTCTAGAATTTGGGAGCTTCAAATATGAAATTTGATACAATTTCGGATAATAGTGTCGCTTAATCATCAAAATATCGAATATATATAGGTGCCGTTATATAGGGCCTTTGCGAAACCCTGGGTCTGCATAGACAATTTTCTGTCACAGGGCTTAGCACCCATTACAAATTTACAATACCAAACTTGAAACAATTCCGGTGGATAATGTTGCTAAAATCGTCAGAATATCGAATATAGGCTGGTTCAGTTATATGGGGACTATGCCAAAACTACACAGTTCTTTGCAATGATGTTTCTTACTTATCGGGTACACATGCTGCCAATTTACAGAAAACTCGGGCTAAAATTGCATTAGTCTCTATTACAGAGAGTAAGTTATTTTTCGAAACGCAACTGACAACTTACAATATTTCCAATTATGAATTACGAATTGTACCATATGAATGTGTCAATTTGGAGAGCGAATAACGTAATTCAAATTGCAATGACAACTTGGTATTATGCCGAATGTATATATCTGCCGCAAGCCGATTGATACTTCCAAACTTGATTCTTCTTAAAAAGTTGATGATAATTTTCCTTTATATAAATTTTCTAATTGTATATCCTGGCTAGAAACAAATTTCGATTATTATAGAGCTTTATCACAAAGTTCGGCAGAATTGCCAAGAAGAAGAAAAAACATCAACAAAGATATTCTACTTCATATTATGGCATAAAAGACCTATCCAGGGGGATGATGAAATTAAAACGTTGAACCACTTTCCATTTCTAGATAAGAGCAAATATTTTTCCTAGGTTAACGCATTTCCTACCTCAAGCATTTCTGTTGTGCCTTTTGCCATTTATTGGTGTTGCGCAGTGTTCGTCTTCCTCACCCTGCAAAAGTGTTGCTCTCAGAGAGCTTTTTAAGAGCTTTCTTACTGCAAATTTACATAGGCTAACGTAAAGAAAGCTCCTACAGCACATTGAAAAATGAGTGTAAGCTTTTGCAGCTATTGTTCAGTCACTTACACAGTTTTTACACCCTCATATGGCTAGAGAGGGTATGTACCATTTGATACGGCCTAGTGCCTAGTCGAAATAACTGTTTCAGACCCAGGGTCTCTTTGGACCAAATCCGTTTCAGGACATTTGGAGTCGATCTAGCGATGTCCGTCCGTCCGTGCGTCCGTCCGTCTGGATAGTGTGCACGATAACTCTCGAAGGGAGTATCCGATTTGGTCCAAACTTGGTACATCGTAATATTTTTGTCAAGCTTAGATCGGGTTTGGAGATGGGCAATATCGGGACACTCCTTCTGGTACCTCCCCCACAAAATTTTCATAGAAAATAATTACCGCATAGTAAGAGAGTTTTTGTGCAAACTTTGCAAATCGTGATATTTGCGTTTCCGTAAGATTGGGTGCGAGAATGGACAAGATCGGACTACTCCTTCTATTACCTCCCCCACAAAAGGTCCCAATTTGGAATAACTAAAACGCTCATAAAATGCGAAGTATAATGCAGACGCTCTTAAAATTTCACACATTCCAATATTTTTACCATTATAGAATCGGGTGTGAGGATGGAGTATAGCGGAACACTCCTTCTGGTATCTCCCCCACAAAGGATCAAAATTTTGAATAATCAAACGCTTATAAAATGCGAAATAAGCATACGGCTATTTTAAAACTTCGCACGTCCCAATATTTCTACCAAAACAAGATATGATATGAAGGTAGGATATATTGGACCACTCCTTTGAATATCTTCCCCACAAAAGGTCAACATCTGAATGTTTCCATAAACACAGGATCTGTTATAACAAGTGAAAAGCGAAAATTTCCAAAAATATAACTTTAGCCAAAAATTCTGTTAACATAACACAAGATATAGACGTTATATTAGGGCCTGCACGACGTTTGTCATCAGCCATTACCATATTCAAATTCGAAACTTGAAATAAACGGTGAATAATGTAGCCAAAATCATCAAATTCCGTTATATCGGAGCTATGCGAAGACCCTGACCTATATAGACAATTTTCTATCACATACTGTAGCTTCTATTACTAACTTTAAATACGACATTTCAAACAATTTCGGTGAGTATTTTACCTAAAATCATCAAAATACCGAATATAGGGAGGTACTGATATATGGGGCCTATACGAAGGCGTGGACCTGCATAGAATATTTTCTGTTACAGACTGTAGTTCTCATTACAAACTCTAAATGCGTAATTTGAAACTACTACGGTGAATAATGACGCTAAGATCATCAAAATACCGAATATTGGGAGGTACCGTTATATAAGGGGCTATACGAAGGCGTGGACCTGCATACACAATTTTCTGCCTTAGGCTACAGTATTCATTACGAACTTCAAACACGAAATTTGAAACAATTCCGGCGAATAATGTCGCTAAAATCATCAAAATACCGAATATCGGGAGGTATCATTTATGAACTCGGGAGATACCATTTACGAACTTAACCTGCCTACTGACAAAATAAACATGTGTGCAAAATTTTAGACTTCTATCTCAATTCGTTCGAAAGATATCGTGATTACAACAGACGGACAGACAGACAGTCGGACATGGCTAAATCGTCTTAGAATTTTACGCTGATCAAGAATATATACACTTTGTTGGGTCTGACATGAGTATTTCGAGGAGTTAGAAACGGAAAGACAAAATTAATGTACCCTCCATAGTATGGTGGAGTGTATAAAAACGGTAGGGATCGGACCATTCCTTTTGGTACCTCCTCTAAAAAGGGTTAACGTTTTGAATAACCAAAACGTTTATACAATCCGAAATAAGCAACAGGTTCTCTTTATATTGCACACATTCCATTTTAGCACCAGATCTTGAGTTTATAAAAACATTGGGATGTGTGAAATTTTTAAAACAATCGGATTCTTACATCACATTTTATAAGCGTTGTAATTATTCAAAATTTTGACCCTTTGTGGAAGATGTACTTGATGGAGTGAACCGATATTGTCCACCTGACCAAGAAGTGACGCAAATATTAGGATTTGCAAAGTTGGAGAAAAATCGGATTATTCCTTCTCTTTCTGTGCAATAAATTATTTTCTTTGAAAATTGTTTGTGGCATGTACCAGAAGGAGTGGACCGGTTTTGCCTATCTCCTAACTCGATCTAAGTTTGACAAAAATATTACGATGTACCAAGTTTGTCGTGCGCACCAAGAGTTATCGTGCACACCAGCCAGACAGACGGATGGACGGACGGACATCGCTAGATCGACTCCAAATGTCCTGAAACGGATTTGGTCCAAAGAGTCCTAGAGTCTAAAACCGTTATTTCGACAACGCACGTTTTGACCGTATCAAATGATATATACCCTCTCTAGCCATATGGCTGAGGGTATAAATATATATACCTTTGTTTAATAAGACAACTTTTAATCCTATTGAAAGTGCTACAATTTATTGTGTTACACTTAGGAGGGAGAAACTTGAGATTGATTTTAATACGATTTTAATAAAATGAATTATTCTGTTATCATCTCTTGTATTGGCCAAAATACAGATGACAAATTTGGCAAATTAATTGAGGATCAAGGTATATATATGTTTTTAAAGAAACTGCTTTGAATGCAACACCTAAAAATTTTACAAATACAACTTACTCTCAATAAGTTTTTTAGAAGCCTATACTGATTTTGAAAATATCCCTGAAAGCATGTATTGATATCTAACTGCTTGGTGCAATATAAAAATGAATTAACTTTGGTTCGTCTTATTTATGACGAAACGAATTCTATAACTCTTTTGTAAGTAGAAGATCTCGAAACTTCAATCACAGCTTTTCTTGCAAATGATTGATATGTTTCTTCATTCTTGGAATGTCAGGATTTTCTTACTGAAATATGAATATGGGAAACCTGGTAAATGTCAGGATTTACTTACTGAAATATAAATGAAGGGGAAACCTGGTAAACTTCTTCTACGTTTCTTCTGAATTTTATTTTTTCTTAAAATCATTAATTTTGAAAATATTTTAATTTTATTAATTTTCTCTTTAAATGTATCTCATTCAGAAAATCGCAAAAAGATAAATCAACTTTTAATGGAACGTATTTCGAAGTTTAACTAAAATTCCAAGTAAACTTTACAATTTCTTCGTATGAAAATAGAGTGGAATTTTTAAATTCTGCCTTTAAACTTGTTCCTTATTTTGAAGAGCGAAGTTTTACAGCAAACTGCTGCTGTATGTGTATGTGTCTTTTGTTTTTAATTTGATTTTGGAAAACATTCACACAATAACGTTTAAATTTCAAAATAATTCAGGTAGGAAAACTTTTTGGGATAAAAGGACATTTTCCCAACAGCCAACAAACAACTGCGCATGTCTGATCTGTGCAATCTTTTTTTTTTGAACTTTTTTCCACAATCGTTAGAGCTTTCACCTCCAGTGACATCAGTCAGAGCGGCAAAGAGGAGAGAGCGAGTACGCCGAGTAATGCCACTGGCACAAAGTTTCAAACATTTTCCGAATTTTCAAAGCAACACAACACTCGAAAAATACAAAACAGATATTCTCAACGGAAAATTCATTCAGAATTTTTTGTTGTCTCTTGTTAATTTGTTTATCGCGTAGCCTTTGTGGCTGCTGGCGCCGTTGCTCGACGTCGGCGTCTCCGTTTGTGGCCTAGTTGTTGTTGTTATTGGCCATCTTTGTTTGGTGTGAGTGAGATTGGGCAACTTCGAAATCAGCAACAACAGAAAAATTCTTGTATACGGTTTTCAACGGTCACACCGAACTGCACGCAGCGAGTCGAACGCGGAAACAAGTGGAAAATCGTGAGGAAAACAACAAAATCGCGTTTAGTGAAAATATTTTCCAAAAAAAAAGTAAATTTACACAACAAATCTTGTGTTTTTATTTCGAGTGAAAGAAATTCATACAAAAAGAAGTGAAATTTCCCAATCACAGCAGCAGCAACAACACAACAATAATAATAGGAAAACGCTAAACCCCAGTTAGTTCAATACGACGACACACGGTGAGTAATGTCATGGCGAAAGAAATGCCTCAGGATCGCTGTGAAAATGTGCAATTGAAAAATATTTCATTCAATGTGGACGGACGCTTTTCTTTGTTTAATCGGAAATGCCACTGTCAATATGTCAAATACATACATACAAACATACATACATGCAAAGAAAGATACATGTATTAAATCATGGGGCTTATATTTCACGGGGAAAGCGAAATAACTTCCAGTTTTTGAGGGAATTTTCATATTTTATTTTGCAAATAATGATGTCAAAATTCAATATCTATATGCCGACATGTGTATGTAGGTGAATATGCTGAATTGTTTACAACAATTGTTTGTTTTTATTGTCATGGAATTTTGTAAACTTTCGTAGCCATAAATATTTTCTGTGGATACAGAAAGCACCTACATACCTACATAATTGAGAAAAGTGTTACACGCCAGATGAACGTCAATGGGTGAGTGTGTGTGTATAGGTATTGCAAACTTATCATCGTCGTCATCCTTGTCCGTGTCTTGCGTACACGTGAGTGTGTTGGTGTGTGTGTGTGACAGTGAGTCAATGTGTGGAAAATAAGTGTGTCAGTAGATACAAAAACAACGATGACGACAAAACGAAAAGCAAAACATCAGAGGTGAAGGAAAATGAGAAAAGGATAAATATGAGCAGCAACATCATCGGAATGTCGGAATGTTCGCTTCTGTTGGCTGTGGACGAGTTGCGTAAATAAACGTTGTAACAACAATTTCTATTTTGAACTTTTCGAAAGCCAATGAACAACTTTGGTCTAATTACTATTTGTTAAAGCTATGTGAACAGGCTGCGAACCATGTGGATACATACAAAAGGACCCAGCTCAATTGCATATCCCACGATATTGCTTAAAGCTGTCTCTGCATGAAAAGTGATTTAATAGATTTCTAAGATATCTTTCATTTGTAAAAATGAGACAAAGATGCAATGTCATTTCATTGGCATTAGTCTACGTTTACATTGAAATCCATATCATGATATCACTCATCACAGCAATGGATCTGGATACATGGCCATAGATCCGATTTCTGTATATGATGATATTGACGTCGTGAAAAGTGTCGGCGATTTCCGGTTCGGAAACACACATATGTACACACATACATGGACGTGTAAAGTGATTCAGCAATATCCAGTTATGAAACATAGATATATTTGTTGGGGGAAACAAAACCTTTTCGTATTCAAAAATTTTCCATGGTAGGGCATGGAAAACCCTGGAATATAAATATATAAGTACTGTAATATATATATATATATAATAGTACTGTAATATCAAAGAAAATACAAAGTTTTAGTGTGTGTGTACAGGGTGAGATAAAAAACTGAAACAAATTCGAACGCCATAATTCGTACATTTTTTTTTTTAATTTTATTGAATAAAAGCAAAAAATGTCGGAAATAGCATCAAATTTTAGAATAAGTTTAGATTTGTTCGAATTGGTCACATTTGGCAGGAATTATGGCCTTCAAACGGCCAATTAAACCGTCACACGCCGCCCGAATGTTGTTCTGCGGTATTTTGGCCCATTCCCGGCGAAGCGCTTGCTTGAGGTGATCGACACTTTGGTGTTTTTTAGTACCAACCTTGCGTTCCAAAATACTCCAGACACAATAGTCCAACGGATTGGTATCCGGAGATTTTGGTGGCCATTTTGCGCTGGGAATGAAGCGAACAACCTAATTTTGTAACCATTCTTAGGTGGCGCGTGCTGAGTGCAATGGTGCTGAGTCCTGTTGGTATGTCCAAGGTCTGCGGCCAAAATGTTTGCGTGCCCAAGAATTTAATACTCATTTTTCAATATTTGACGAATGGATTATTGCGATATGTTCAGCTAACGAGCCATTTTTCGGCCACTGCGACGCGGGTTTCGATCAAGTCGCTTCTTTACTTTACGAACCATTTCTGCTGATGTTTCTGTTTTCTTCCGTCCACTTCCTTGACGTCGGGCTACGCTACCTGTATCACGGTAACGAGCGATGGTACGAGACACAAACGATTCATTCACATTTAAATGCTGGAGTGCTCTAACGATAGCCACTTGTGGTTTTCCAGCCAAATATAAAGAAATCTCACAATCACGCTTGAATTCCATCACGAATAACTTTTTTTTTGTGGAAAATTCTCACCAAAATGCTTTTGTACGCTTGTAAATAATATAATTAGCTGTCACTGGAATAATTTTAACAGCTGTCGGACGAGTGGCTTTGAGATGACAGTAGTCTGAAGTTGGTTGCAGTTTTTTCATCTCATCCTGTATGTTATGTTTTGAATAATAAACAAAATTGTTTTTGCATTTTTAATATTCTGTTGGAATAATTTTTCCGTTTTGGGTTAAAAAATTGCAATCCTATTAGGAACTCAATATTGTGAAAAATCTGTGACGTTTAATTTAATTGTCTCATAAATAAAAACAATAGGAATGGGCCATCTAAAGTTATTTTATTTTGAAAAAAGTAGACTTAACTAAAAAAATTAAATCCAGAAGCTGACAGTTTGTTGCCATCTAATGTGATTCACTAATTTGAGTCATTAAAGTGAATTTAACACGAAATCTATCGGATGTAAATAATACAAACCAATATCATTCAATTTGAGGTCAATTTTTTGTTGTTTTGCTCAATTTTATGGATGTTTCGCTTTTCGTTTAGAATCAAAACTAAAACAAATACAATTTGACAACAACAATGAGACATTTGTTATTGTAAGTAATGCTAGTGTCTCTCATTTAACTAATAATAATTGAAGGAGGAACATCCCTTTTAGCGGGCTACCTTAAATTCGACGTTCAGCCTCCGTATAATGGGTAAAACGTATTACCCAAATTGATAATTTTTTTAATTCGCCAATTCTAAGACATTCCAATTACAAACATTCACATTTTTTGTATTGTTCGTAAAAATTTGTAATATACAATATAAGAAAATTGACTTATATTATCGATTCCATTCACTTAAAATGAGTCGGAGCCCTTGTAGAAAGCTTTTACATCAACTTGAAATGCTGAATCATAGTCAAACTGGTTTGAAAATCCGTTGACGAGACTTTGCCTGAATAGAAATCTTAGACAGAATCACCAAATAACATAAGTATTTTTATTATCTAATGATACTTTAGCAGCGAAATGGCTGAATTTACGAGCTCATGAAAAATTTCAGAATTGTCGTCCTATATTTCCCCTCTTTAGGACATCTAACATAAGAATATTGGTACCAGGAGTTATTTTTGGGAGTTACATTTGGAGACTTGTTCTTTGCGTACAAAAATAATGATTAATTTCAGCAGCCTAATAAAAACATAAACGCGAAACTTTTTCAAAATTATTGTTATAAAACGAATACCAAATAACTTTTCGGGGGCAAAATCATGGCTTAGATTAATTATACTACGCTTTTAATCCATATTAACAACCACAATCCCATGTAAATTTTCGTTAAGACTGGAACCTAATTACTTAAGAAAGTGATTATAAATTAGCAAAATGAAGGACCCGCGAACTGCACAGAGTGCGATCGACAATGATAAGTCCAGTCAAAATGCATACATATGTATATGTGTCTAAAGAGAAATTGACAATTATATGCCTCGATAAAAACAAATGTTAGGATCCACAACTTTTATCAACTTTATTTTCAATGCATTACCAGGCTTTTAACTAAATCCGAATTCTAATACCCCACCCTTTCGGGGGTTTTTCAAACATTGAACTGAAGGAATTTCCCGAAGTTGGCGATAGGTATGTTGATGTGAATGGATAAAACCTTTGTCTATTCCATCGTTGTTGACCATGTTTTTTTTTTGTTTGCTCTCGGCTACACCAACGTACATACATGTACGTGTGCACAACAAATTTGGCAGCATAACATTTGCTTGCCTTCTTCCGTATTCTTTTATTTTTTGTTATTGGCGTACTTTTTTCACATCTGCTCCTAGTACAACTTTTGCAATATGCTATGGGGGAGCTGTCAAAAATCACCCACCCTCGCACCCACACACATCACCAAACATGTTGTGTGAGTTCGATCGTAAGGGAAGGAAGCTTTCGGGCAGGCCCATTATGTTGTTGTTGCTGCTTTTTCTTCGCTTTTCGTTTTTGTTTTGTTCCACTTTATGTTTGTTGTTATGTTCTCATTTGTTCGACGCTAGCATTTGTAACCACCATCTATGTTGGCTGTTTGGAGAATCACTCTGCCGGCGTCGCTGCCCATTCTTTTTCTCTGTTGCTCCAGTAAAGAACTCTTTAATGTGCGATAGTACCTTTCAGGGGTGGTTTTTTCATTGTTACATTTGTTGTGTTCCATTTGATTTTATAATTTATCGCCATTTCTGTGTCAGTGGTGTGTTTGTTTGCCATGAATGGGTGACACGAAATGTGTTGCGTTAGGGCGGCGGGAACTGGGTGAACAGATGTGTGCAGCAGCAGACAGACTTTAGTGCTTGAACTTGAATTGTCTCCATCGAACTTGTCGCTAATCTATAGGAACATAAACTCACACACACACACACATGCTCACAAGATCCAATGAACTGGAATTGTAATTTGTGTATTGTTCGTATGAGTAATACGGAGTTATTGTGCTACCAGTGATAATCATACGCACCGTCGTAAAACTGTTAAACTTTCGTTTCGTTATTTGCAATTATTGAAATTGAATATTTAGCAGACATTTACAATTTAATGACAGACATTTACGATTGTTAAATACCGCTAGCAGGACACCAATTACGATTTATATACAACTAGCTGGCCCTGTCCGCGTTGCCGGCCCGTAGTTTTTGTCTATTATGCATATTTGTCAATTCATAATTATTCAAAGATATGAATGTTATAAATGTTCACGTACTGGTCGATTAGTTTTTAATTTTTAGTCAAATGAGCAGTAATTTGGAATTTACTGTACTTTGTACACCTCATAATTAAGGGCTATTTGATTTAAGAATAGCCAAAGTTAATTACTTTTTTAAACC